TATAAATGTATCAAGATCTGTAAATATAAAATATAAATCTTCCTTTAAAATTTCCGTCGATTTGCGATTTGCCTGCCTGCAAAAAGGTTAATCCACTTGGAACGTTTTCCGTGGTTGTGGAACTTCGTTCCACATCAAATGCATCCTGCCCAACATCAGCGATAGCCCAGTTTGTAAAGCAACGTTGAAGCTCTTGGAAAGACAGCAAATACTAACGCTGTTTGCTCCGGCGACTTGCTTTGAAGAGGACGAAAGCGACCAAGAAGTGAGGCAGCCGATGACGATTGACGACGAACCAGAAGACGAACAGAACGAAACACTCGTGAACAGTTTATTAGCAAAAATATTAAGCCCTTCGCAAAGCTCTGTCAGCTATTAACTGTGGTCAGACAATCGCCATTTCGCCAACCGGGTACTTTTAATGTACAGTAATGAGTCATGCGATATTGTACCTGTTAGTCCTGGATCGTTGTGACGCATTTCCGATGCGAAATGAGATCGATGAGATCAGATAGGTAATATTTAAAAACATGTCTGCTGTGGTGTGGGGAAAATAAGTTTAAACTGCCAAATCTACCAATTTTTTATGTGTGTGTAAAGATAGTGCAAGTGAGAGTCTGCTATTTTACGCGCGTCGAAACACTGTTATTCAAACATAAATATTTCGCGTTCTAGATCGAATTTTAAAAATCCCCCCGAGGAAATTAAAGAAGAAAGCATGCTTTAGCAGAATTTGTTTTGGCGAAAAAAGTTTAATATCGAATGTCACCGAGGGCGTAGAACAAGGTGTTATTTAAAGTTTGTTCGTTCACTGCAACCAGGTATATCAATCATGTTTCGCTCGCTACTCTGGTTTAAATAAATGATTACAAAGCCCAGTCGAATTGTAATCAAGACCCAACGTTTCGACACTCCAGTCTAGTGTCTTCATCAGGGGTGATCTAAATTGCAATCGTGGCTTCTTAAATACCCAAGGGATGACGTCACCTGCCAATGAGATGCATATATTCCTCTGGCAAATAGGCGCCGTCATCCCTATTCAAAGCATGATTACTCATATTTATATGCCACGCTTCTAGGCAAAGTCTTTGACCATAGCGATTGTTTGTGGTAATTACTTTAGAGTTTTCCCACGCAATCTCGTGTTTGGTGTAACATACATGTTCGGCTAAAGCTGATTTTCCCTTGTCTAAAGTTGAAACAGCCTTTTGATGTTCTTTTAGCCGTGTACCAAACTGGCGTTTAGACTGACCCAAATACTCTTTATCGCAGTCACCGCATGGTGTAGAATATATAGCGTGAGTCTTCTGATTTTTTTCAACAGGATCTTTTGGCTTTGATGAAGCATGACAAAAAATTGCTGCGTCTGATTGGAACGAAACCATCTTATAAATCAGGTTCGAATCTTAAGAAGAGATGGGTTAAAAACCTCTCATCTAAAGAGCTAAGTGAGTTGGAAAGGAAGGGTCTTGAACACGGCCTAAAATTTGCGGTTGTACCTAACAGAATTCCAACAGCCGAAATCATTGCTTCAGTGGAAGAAGGAATTTTTCCACTAGACGATGATGCTAAGCGATTGGTAAGAGCTGAGGTCAGTAGCATTCTTAGACGCGCCAAAATACCTCCAAAAAACATTGATTCGAATGTTTTCAAAGCTTTACTTGCTCTTAAAAAAGATCCGGACAGGGTTATACTTTCAGCGGACAAAGGCAATTGCGTTGTTGTTATGGACAAACATGATTATCGCGAGAAGGCTCTTTCACTGTTGAATCACAGAAATACGTATTCTATTCTCAAGTCTGATCCTACTGGAAAGACTCAAAGAGGTTTAAACGCCAAGTTACTTCTTTTGAAGAAATCCAATATTATCAGCAAGGCTACATATGAAAAGTTATACAGCAGTGATGGACTATCTCCGCGTTTCTATGGCTTACCGAAAATCCATAAACCGGAAATTCCATTGAGACCTATTGTGTCCTTTGTGAATTCTCCTACATATGGAGTTTCAAGTTTTTTGGCGAAAATTTTGTCCCCTGTGGTGGGAAATACCGAAAACACTGTGAAAAATTCCTGTCATTTTGCAGAATTTGTAAGAGGTAAAACTCTTAAAGCAGATCAAGTGTTGGTATCATTTGATGTCGTTTCCTTGTTTACAAATATCCCGGTTGATCTTGCCATCAAGGTTGCGGCAAAAAGACTAAGACAGGATGCCACTTTGTTACAAAGAACATCCTTGCCTGTAGAAGATATTATTGATCTTCTGTCTTTTTGTCTCAACGCCACGTATTTTGTGTTTGAGGGCTGTTATTATCAACAGGTTTTTGGAACAGCGATGGGGTCACCAGTTTCGGCAGTAATTGCTAATTTAGTAATGGAAGATGTCGAACAAAGAGCTTTAGCCTCTGTTCCAGTGTCCCTATCGTTTTGGAAACGTTTCGTCGATGATGTCATCTCTGCGGTTTCTACAAATGAGATCGATATTCTGCTGCAACATTTAAATTCTATTGAGCCGTCCATCCAATTCACGGTAGAACGTGAAATAAATGGACATTTAGCTTTTTTAGATTTGAATGTACACAGAACTGTCGAAGGGAAGTTAGAGACTGATGTTTATCGCAAACCCACACACACAGACAAATACTTGTCATACGACTCTCATCACCCAGTAAGCCATAAAAGATCCGTAGCAAAAACTTTGCTTCAAAGAGCTGAATCGTTGCCGTCAAACAGTGATTCTCAAGCTAATGAACGTGAATATGTTCTAAATGTTTTAGGGGAAAACAATTACCCAAAGCGTTTTCTTAATGATTGCCTGAGACCACCTGTTTGTAGGAACCAAAATAACTCCGAGGGTGATACCTCTGTTAAGGGTTTTGCAATAGTTCCATACATTCAAGGTGTCACAGAACCAATCAAGAGAATCTTAAGTAATTGTAATATTAAGGTTGCCTTAAAACCCTATTTGACCTTAGGCCATATTTTCGCAAAGCCAAAAGATCCTGTTGAAAAAAATCAGAAGACTCATGCTATATATTCTATACCATGCGGTGACTGCGACAAAGAGTATTTGGGTCAGTCTAAACGCCAGTCTGGTACACGGCTAAAAGAACATCAAAAGGCTGTTTCAAGGGAAAATCAGCTTTAGCCGAACATGTATGTTACACCAAACACGAGATTGCGTGGGAAAACTCTAAAGTAATTACCACAAACAATCGTTACGGTCAAAGACTTTGCCTAGAAGCGTGGCATATAAATATGAGTCATCATGCTTTGAATAGGGATGACGGCGCCTATTTGCCAGAAGAATATATGCATCTTCTTGGCAGGTGACGTCATCCCTTGGGTATTTAAGAAGCCTCGATCGCAGTTTCAGATCACCCCTGATGAAGACACTAGACTGGAGTGTCGAAACGTTGGGTCTTGATTACAATTCGACTGGGCTTTGTAATCATTTATTTAAACCAGAGTAGCGAGCGAAACATGAAGGTGTTATTTTCTCACTCCTTTTGTTTACATGTTTCGAATTTCAGGCATTCTGATTGGTCAAGAACGCAAAATGTAAACAAACGCGCTGATTGGCTAACATTATTTGCCCTTGTTGTATAGATCCATACACGAGATTCACACTATACAACAGTATCAAGTCAATCCCAACATGAACGATTGAAATATTTTCTGTGCTTCCAAAAACAAAATATATCGGGAGTGTTTTACCAAAACAATTACGGTAACAAAACAACTCGTCTCTACTCTCGAGAAGTCTTACATTTTATAGTTTTTCAGTATGGAAATGATTAGCTACTTCATATAGATGCGTATTTATCAGGAGCTCTCTTGTATATATCGCAGATCATAAAGTAGTCTTCAAAGTATTTCGATTAAAATTCTAAACCGACTAATTTTGAAATCTTATAGACTTAGTCTTAGTACAAAATATATGTCGACTTGGAAATAATAAAATCGGCATTTAAACAAAGCCAGCTTGAAAAATTTGCCACAAATTGGCAGCTATTTGCAAATGAGTTGCAAATATAGTAAATAAGTTTGCAAGCCTGCAAAGATGTAGGCAAATGTGAAGCGAATTTATCGAGTTGCAAAGATGAATTCGCAATGGTTGCGAATTCAAACTACTAAATTTGCATCAAATTTGCAACTATTGCAAATTTGGTGCGAACCTATTTTTTCGTTCCCTGAAATTCCCATGGTTTTTCCATGGCTTTTATCATTGGATTCCCACTTTTCATTTACATGGTATTGCCATACTTTATGAAGACTGCTACTCATAAATTCTCATGGTTTTTCCATGATTTTTATCATGGGGCCCCCACTTTTCATTTACATGGTATTGACATACTTTATGAAGACTGATACTTATAAATTCCCTGGTTTTTCCATGGTTTTTATCATCGGGCCCCCACTTTTCATTTACATGGTATTGACATACTTTATGAAGACTGATACTCATAAATTTCCATGGTTTTTCCATGGTTTTTATCATCGGGCCCCCACTTTTTATTTACATGGTATTGACATACTTTATGAAGACTGATACTCATAAATTTCCATGGTTTTTCCATGTTTTTTATCATCGGGCCCCCACTTTTCATTTACATGGTATTGACATACTTTATGAAGTCTGCTACTCATAAATTTCCATGGTTTTTATCATCGGGCCCCCAATTTTCATTTACATGGTATTGACATACTTTATGAAGACTGCTACTCAATAAATTTCCATGGTTTTTCCATGGTTTTTATTATCGGGCCCCCGTTTGAAATCTACATGGTTTTTCCACTATCCAGCTTCAAAAATGTCAAGTAATCTCCAAACTTTTCACAGTATTTTTACATAATAACTTTTTACAGACATTTTACATCGTATTGCTTCTTTCTGTTTCCGTGCCTGTAAATTTACATGATCATTGCAAAGATGTAAATTTAAAGACAAGGGTATTTACAGTAATTATAGATTTACATGATATGTAAATTTATTGTAAATTAATTTACATAGTATGCAAATAAATATTCACATAATATTTACATGAGAATAATTTTCCATTGAGTTTTATATCGGAAAAATCAGTTTAATATTAAAATGGACATTTCAAAACATTTTACAAAGCGATTCACGTTAAATTTTACATTAAATCAAAGCTCGCAAAATGCAGAACAACATACATACAGTACATATTTCGGAAATTAATTGTTATATAGTTAAAAGCAATAATCTCTCAACTATTTTTGGCGTGTTGTACAAAAACATAATAAAAATTAAATTTATCGTATTGCCATGGCAACGTACACTGACGTAAACGCAAGCCTGTGTTCAGTCACAGGTTCAGTGTTAATCAAATTACTACTACTTAAGCTTCACGTTAAATCAATATTTGGAAAATACATGCGATCGCGAGGGGTTGCTGCATGCTTGTATTTCTATTTTATAAATATCTTCTATTTTCAGTACCACCAGAGTTGAAGAGAAATTTTAAAGATCCACCGTATGTCGTTTTCATGGGTGATGTTGGCACTGGTAAGTCGACTATAGTGGAGAAGATAACAGGAGAAAATAACAGAAGTTCTCCTTTAAACGAGAGCTTCACGAAATCAACAGCAATTTTCAGGGTTCCTGATGGTAGCCTTGTGGTAGCCGACACACCTGGAAGCAACTCGTTGAAAGAGCAGCTTCAACACAACGTTTGGATAGCTGCTGCAATTAATTACAGGCCCGTATCAATAATTTTTATTGTTGTCAAAGCGGAAGCTCGCATCGATTGTGTCATCAGTAACATTCGAAAATATTCTGATAGATATATAGCACTTCCTTTCAGTGTGATAGCGGTTCTTGTCACTCACATGGATAAAGTTGAGTGGAGAAAGGAGCATATCACGCCAAAAGTAAAGAAAGAAATTGGAATCGATAAGATAGCCTTCAGCTCGAAGAATACAAAAGGTGAGATATTGGTGTTCGACATACTCAAAATCTGTGCTGGTGGCAAGGTATACAATCTAACAGTCAACACTGAAAACTTTTTCCGACTCTTTAACATCCACGACAGCCTCCGCAGCATTCTGCAGTCTACCAACGATGAAGTTGAACAGTTCATTGCGAAAAAGAAAGCTTTCGACGAAGCTAGAAAGGTGTTTAAAGGTACGAATCTAAGAATTTTTAGATATTGCTATTATTAACCAATTTATTTTTGGGAAAACATATCTGTTTATTTATTTCCAGGAAACCTGTATTTCCTTAACCCGGATCTTTATCATTGCAACAAATAGTGTAATACAAAAACATACTGTAGTGTTTTGTTTCCCAAGAGACAAAGCAATTACTTTTCATATTCTACCTCAGATTGAAATTGTTTAATCAAAAAACAGCATTTTAGGCAAGGAGGAGAAGGGAGAGAAAGTTATCTAGGTTATCTGTGGATTTATAGTCAACCATCGAATTCATTCAATAAAATTGGGTTTAATAAATTTAATAAAAGAATGGAAAAAAATAGTGGTACACGCATGAATGCATGTGGCCCTCACCCCTGCAGATGTTAGAGTAGAAATTCCATTAAAGCCTCCAGAAAGTGATTGAGGTAATGCACAGCTCTCGCGTAAAAATGCGATATTTTGAAATCTCTCGCAAAGCTCTCGCGTAAAAATTAGATATTTTGAAATACCGAAATACAACATGCAAATTTGCAGATACAAGCTTGAAAACAACACTCTGAATGAAGTGTGTTAAATTATGTTTCGAACAAGACTAATAAGTTGAAGAGGGCAGAAGTTATGTTCGGCGAAATGTATGACTTATAGTACGGTATGATTAGTTTACATTGTTCAAGTATGCCTATATAGTTTATAATTTATGGCTATTTTACATTGTTCGGTTTCATAGAATTTTTCAAGCAGATTTTTTTAAGCTATTTTCGTATCTGAAACTATTATGAAACTGATTTTTGGTTAAATACCCTTGCAGTTGAAGACCTTGAGGTTCATATATCTTATTTTAGCTTTGTCAATTTAACTTGGCACACTTTGTTATTAATTGTTCATTTACATAATTTCAGGTCCTCGTTGCGTCATGGGAAGGCCACGAATTCGAAAAGGCTTGCAGAATCTTGCAAAATAAATAAATGGTAAAAGCGAAGGAAAATTTATAAAACAAAACATTGAAAAAATTATTTTGCACATAAACATTTATTACCTTTACTATTTTGCATTTCCATTTCACGTCGCTTATGTATATCATGTATATACTCAAGAGAATGTATAAATTTATTTGCTGACATGATGCCGGCGCCATTTTTTTGCACGATTTGGCATCGAGTGTGACCGTCCCATGATACAGCAAGGGTCTGCGGAGAGGGCAGGTGGGAAGCGAACGAAAAGGCCTGCGGACTAGTTGTCCAAGATGGTGGCAATCTCGTCCCTCTAGCATGCTAAGGTTAAGGCGGGCATAGCTCTACGCATGCTTGGCAATTGTTGCAAAATATAAATAAAGTATTCATAATTTCTCAGGTATTATATAAAGTAGGCTATTTATAATTTATCTAATAATTTTTAGATTGAAAACGATTGAAACCAACTAAAAACTCAGAGGGAAATATCACGAAAGTGTTTCGGATTGATAGGGATAGAACTACATACAAGGAGAACTCGGACGTTTTGAGCGAAGACGCTTCGACTTGTCCTGTTAGTATTTGTATACATCGTAGTTGACCTTTTATACTGTCGGTATACGTGCTAATGAGTATAGTCTCTTTAAGAATGAGGAAATGTTAGCTGTGAAGCAGGACGTATCGAGGGTCTAAACTTTGAGGGGAGGGAAGGGGAGGGAAAACGTTTTATGGCATGGGCGTAAATTCAAGTTCAACTGTGCTTTTAACCATAGAGAACACCGCATGCAACCTTTACTGGTAAACAGAAGAGATGGGAGTCATTATCGTCTCCCCCCCCCCCTTTCCATTTCTGCCCGGATTTCAACTTTTCACAAGGGCAGAGCTTTTGCCCATTTGGGGATGGAGCAGAGCCTCCATTACCACCAAGCCCGTAGCTGGCTTTCAATTTCTGGGGGGTCACCCCCCCGTCGCCAAAAAAATTTCGGTCACTGTACCATTTTAGGGCTCAAAAAAGTTTTCCGGAAATACCAATTTTTCCAGACATACTCCATTTTTCCGAAACCTAACAAAATTTTTCAAAAATCACAAAATTTTCCACAAAATTTACAGAAATTTTTCCATTATTACAATTGGTTCCCAGGCCCTTTATCTCTATTTTTCATACCCGATTTCCGAGTGGGGGGGGGGCACTGCCCCACCGAGTGAGGGAACATTGTCCCCCCAGCCCCCGGCTACGGGCCTGATTACCACCACCGCTTTTCTCTTCCCAATCCCCCTTTTCATCATCCCCCTCCCCCATCTTGGCCACGCTACTGTTGTGTGAATCTAACATTACGTATACCGCAATTTCTCACGTCACGAGAGAGTAAAATTTAAATTTTAAAGCACATATATAGACAATATAGTGTAAGAGAGCAACATCAATAATCCAATGACAAGGAAATTTAAACGTTTACTCCAGTTTTAAAGATATCAACCGCAGATTCACACTTTGCAAACATTCGCTTATTCATGAGCCTTGACGAGATTATATTTATCAGCAAAGGTCAACTATGGTGTACACAAACACTAACAGTACAAGTCGAAGCTCCTTCACCCCAAGTGTCGAAGTTCTCGTTGGTATACGGACTATGGGCGGGGCCTTCAGCCTTGTTTTCGCGATTAAAGCCTCGTTTTAGTGTTTTTGGGCGCTGAGTTAAAAATTTATTTGTATTCCGACTATTAACTATGTACTCCGCCTCATTTATATATACATATATGTATATATAGCTTAAGATTTTGGTTTACGAAACACAAACAGTGCTCAATACCATATAGATAGAGCGTAATATAGTTTTTCGTTTTACCTCAAAAAACCACAACAGTCTGTTTCATCCGTATAGGAATCATCAGGTGGTGAATAATTTTCACCACCTGATGATTCCTATACGGATGAAACAGACTGTTGTGGTTTTTTGAGGTAAAACGAAAAACTATATGTATATATATATATATATATATATATATATATATATATATATATATATATATATATATATATATATATATATATATATATATATATATATATATATATATATATATATATATATATATATATATAGATTGTCTGTTTCTTAAAATTAGATATCGCTACTCTGAGTTTCACGTCCTTTCTAGACGATCATCAGGCGATTTTGTTCACGATTTTGTTACTATTTTTGTTACATCAACGGTTGATGATGATGCAATCACGTAATCAGTAACAAAATCGTGAACAAAATCGCCTGGGGCCGGTTGTATAAAAACGTAATTAGCGCTAACTGTAGTTAGCGTTAATCACTGTAGTTAAATCCTTAACTGTAATTAGTTAACTACATGACTTAACTGCGTTGCACAAAACATAGTTAGTCGGATAGTTAACTAATCACGTAGTTAACTGTGCGTGGGGCTTCCGTGGGGCATTTAAACACAAAATTACATAAAGTAAGCAGCGAATAACGACCGCTGACACACATTTTCAACATGATTGTGGACTCGTATTTTGCAAATAGGCGGGAATTTTATTCAAAACACTAGAAAAACAATGAAAAATATACAAGAAAACAAGGAAAAACCGCCACAAAAACTATAAAAGAATGCAGTTTTCCTTGAAATGCCTACGTTAAACCAAGGTAATGCTGTTTGGCAATTATATATCAGTGTTTCTTGGTGTAATGGACCATACTTCGTCTTCGAGAAATCGTCCTGTGCAAAAATATGTTCTGTTTTCGTAAAACACCAAAGCGATAGCGTTTGAAGAGTTTATATTGTCAGGAAACATTCACAGGGAAGATAGCGATTGAAAATCTCAGGTAACCGTTGCTTTTCATTGTTGTTTTACTGAAAAATGTTGTTCACTCCTATACAAACGCCATTTTTAACTACGTTTTGGACAGTTAACCATACCCTAAAGCATAGTTAACTTTAACTACTTTTTAACTGCAGTTAAGGCTAACTACACTTTTATACAACCGGCTTAACTACGTGATTAAAGTTAACCACTTTTTAACTACTTTTTAACTGCAGTTAGCGCTAACTACGTTTTTACACAACCGGCCCCTGATGGTGATTCGAAAGATGCCTAGTGGATTTTGTTGATTTGCTTTACCTTAATTTATATATATATATATATATATATATATATATATATATATATATATATATATATATATATATATATATATATATATATATATATATATATATATATATATATATATATATATATATATATATATATATATATATATATATATATAAATCAATCAATGATACATCAGAGCTCGTATAACAACTTTTTATTACGTTTCGGGGCAAGCCCCTTCTTCAGAATCTGAAGAAGCGGCTTGCCCCGAAACGTAATAAAAAGTTGTTATACGAGCTCTGATGTATCATTTATTGATTTATATAAATGTTGGGCTCTAGAGAAAGTTGGCTCAGTGATAGATTTATATATATATTCTCCAGTCGTCGCAGAGGAGTACTCTCTTCGAAGATTCATGTCCCTTCGGCTGCAAGTTCGCCCTTATCGACGTGGAGGTGGGGTTTGTGTTTATCTCTCTGAGTATATCCATGCTAAGCGTCGAACTGACCTTGAAAGCGACCCCTCTCAGGCATTGCAGTCTGTGTCGTCTACCACCCAACTGGGTTGCCCGAACATGAACATTACCTCCTGAATGAATATTTAACCAATAGTGCGGATATTCTATGCAACCAATATCCCAATTGTGGTCTTGTCTTCCTAGGCGATTTTAACGATTTCCAAACAGCGAACCTTTTATCAAGACATAACTTAAAGCAATTGGTCCAGGCTTCCACGAGAGGCTCGGCTATTCTAGATCTCATAATTACCAACCTATCAAACCTTTATGAAGTCCCCCAAGTTCTTTCCCCACTTGGATCCTCAGATCACAATATTGTCATATGGTCTCCTGACTTAACGAAGTCAAACCCAAGTTTGCACACCAAGTCTATTAAACGTCTGGTACGTCGATACCCTTGATTTTGTATTGACGCATTTGGGAGATGGGCTACAAGCCACGATTGGTTCAGTGAACTTGGGCTTACAGCCAGAGTTGATGATCTAACAACATCTTTTACTTCACAATTTATGCAAGCAATTGACCGTATATTTCCTCCTAAGTT